TGTCTCTGCCATTTTGAGTTTCTGTTACCAATTTGAACACACTCGCAAATGCACACATTTTAACATTTACAAATGAAAACTGTTCAAACAATTTGTTCAATTGAATAATAATACTGGCGACAGAATGTAGAGGAGTAGTACTACTGATGGTGCTGATGCTGCCAAGGGAAGGTACAGTGGGGTGAAATAGGATTTTTTGTAGTGATTTTGCAAAGGGGAGCAAAATGTGTATTTTAGAGCTATTTTGTAAATTTGAAGAAAATACGTATTCATAGTGGCATTAATCATTCACAACCTACCTAAGACAAGAAATTCTTGATTTTGTTATGGATCAAAAATATTTTGAAAAAAAAAACTCGACATTCATGAATGAAAGCAACATTCTTTCAATGACTAAAATCAATAGTTGTTTGTGTACCATGGATGTTCATAAAATTTATATATTTGTGTCGAAAATTGAAAAGAAGCGTTTTATACTACCATTGATGACTTTTTTATGATACATCCATTCCCATCCATTTGCATATTTGTCGAATAAAAACATGATCACTTGCAGAACCTTCAAAAATCTACTAGTTTTCCATTTTTTTTTTTTGAATATCATAAGGGAAAATCTGTTATGGTAGTAAAATAATTAATATTCTTGCAGTTCTGGAACAGACCATTAATTTCAATTATCTTTTTTTCTATAATTCAATTATTTTTTTTTTGATAAAAAAAAAATATGGAAGAAAACGTCAGATAAAAACGATAGGTAACGACCTATCGTCTTGAAGAGAAATTGGCAATTTCTTTAAGAATGAGGCCGAAATTATACCCGTATGATCTAATTATTTCCGGACCTCGCCGCACTGAACTCTTGAAATATTTTATTGGCATTTTTCGATATCTTAAATATTGGGAATATATTAGGCCTGCTGTAGCTAAAATAAAAGAAATAATCGTTATGGAAACGACAGAATTATCAAAGATTTTCTAAATGGACTACAAATTTTTCATTCTTAAATTTAAAGAGGATATAATTAGTAAAACCATTGCACAATGGACCTAAATCCAAATTTTATGTCCAATATTGTTTCAACGTCTCCATATGTATACCCTAGAGACCAACAGTGACCTCAATATCAAATTTCGGAATTCCAGCTCTATCCCTTCACGAATACCAAAATTTAATTCTTTTCCCAAAATTTTAGTACTCATTCGCAAAGCCGTTATAGATCTCAATCCTAGACACCACCAGTTATCGCAATACAAAGTTTTAGGGTTTTAGCTCACCCAATACCAAATTTCGTACTTTTCGAACAAAAATAGTATGCATTTCCACATCCACGTCCAAATCTCAACCTCAGATTCCAACTGTTATCTAAGTATTAAATTTCATAATGAAGATAAAGTTCATTCCTTCACGAAAAAACCAAACATAGTACTTTTCGTACAAATATAGTACACATTTCCAAAATCACCTCCATATTTCCAATTTACCAATAGAGACTTCAAAATCAAATTTGGGGATTCCCTTCACACAATACAAAATTTAGTACCATTTATTACTTTTCGTACTGTAACATCTCCAAATCCACGTCCAAATCTCAACCTAAGATTGCAAAAGTGATTTAAATATCAAATTTCAAAATTGTATATCTTTTCCAATTCTAAATTTAGTTCTTTTCATACAGTTATAGCAAACATTTCCGAAACCACCTACATATCTAAATCCCATATACAAGCATACATACCTTCATCGAATACCAAATTTAGAACCATTTAGTACTTTGCGTACAAATATAGGTCGAATTTCTGAACCACCGCCAAATCTCGAACACGGATACCATTAGCAATCGAAATATCAAATTTCAGAACTTTATCTCTATCCCATCACCCAATATCTGATATTTCAATTTTTCTTACATTTTTAGTACACATTTCCGAAATCACTTCCATGTATATAGGCTACACATGAACAGCGACCATAATACCAAATTTCAGATTTCTAACACTATCAAATTTTACCAAATATATTACTATTTAGTACTTTTTGTACAAATATAGGACGAATTTCCAAACCAACGCAAATTCTCAAACACAGATACAATCAGTAATCTAAATATTAATTTCCCGAATTTTATCTCTTTTCCATTAACCAATACCAAATTTAGTACAATTTAGTACTTTTTGTACACATTTTCGAAACCACCTCCATATTTCCAGGCTACACATGAACAGCGACCCAAATACCAAATTTCAGATTTCAAGCACCCAATACCAAATTGTACCAAATACCAATAGTACACATTTCCAAAACCACTTCATATCGTAAACACAGACACCCTCAGCGACATCTATATCAAATTTAGTCAGTACTTAGTACCAAAGTACTATTTATTACATTTCATACTTTTCGTAAAAAATAGTGCACATTTAAAAAAAAAGCCTCCATATTTCAACTCAACAGAAATCTCGCGATCACATTTGAGGATTCAAGCTTTATTTCTTCACCCAATACTAAACATAGTACCATTTAGTACTTTACGCACGACAATAGAACGCATTTTCAAACCCACCTATAAATTTCAATCTCAGATAGAAAAAGCAATAGCAAATTTCAGAATCTTATATCTATCCCTTCACCAAGACCAAATTTAATACCATTTAGTACTTTTCGTAAAATTATAATATACGCCCCCAAAAACCAATATATGTCCAGGCTATATATAAACAGCTACCCCAATACCAAATTTTATATTTCAAGCACTACTTGTTCTCCCAATGCCAAATTGTACAAAATATGGTACTATTTAGTAATTTTTGAACAATCATAGTATTCATTTCCAAAACCTCCTCCATATCTTAACCAAAGACACCAACAATGAAAACTATATCAAATTTGAGGATTCCATCCCAATCCCTGCACCCATTACCAAAGCCACCTCCAAATTTCAAACTCAGTTATCCAAATATTGAATTTCAAAAATTTATCTCTATCCCTTCACCCAATACCAAATTTAGTATCATTTAGTACTTTTCATACAATTATGATATGCACATCCAAAATCACATCCATATCTCAAGGCTGCACACGAACAGCGACCCTTATATCAAATTTCAGATTTCACCCACTATCGAAATTGACTTAATTTTGGAAATTTCGACTGAATTCATACCAGAAACAAGTACTTTAGATTTGGTGAAAATCGGTTCAGTTGTAGTTACAGCTACCATATATACGTTATATCCGATTTGGTGTTAAAGTCCCTCGCATACGTAATACGAACTTCACAACAATAACCTTTGGCAACAGATATAAGATTCGGCTCAGAAACAAGTGTTTAAAACTTTGTGAAGATCGGTATAGATTTGGATATAGCTCCAATATAGAGTATTAACCGATTTCAGGTTTATTGTGCACCAAAGCTACACCACCCATATATATTATATGTTCACCCAATACCAAAGTGTACTAAAAATATATAGTACCATAGAACAGTGTGGCTTGTTTGTTCGGGATACCGTAGTATTTTGTTGTTGCAAAATGGTCAGGCTTATCCCTTTATTGTTGTTTTTATAAAAACAACGTTTGTTTATCAGTGGAGAACGATGGTAATGTTTACCAGGGGGTAAGGCAGGGAATACCTAGGTTTCGGAAAGAGCCACCAATCCTCATCAGTTCCCTTGTTTTTGTCTGGGATAGTACCATATTTAATACGCTTCGTGCTCTTACTGCATACATTTCCAAAATTACCTTTTTATCACAAACCTATCGCCAACGGGGACCCCAATAAAAAATTTAAAAATCCCAACTTCACCCCAAACTAAACCATTCCAAATTTAGTACAGGTCGCATACTTAGTACACATTTCCAAAACCACCTTTTTATATCAAACTTGCTTTCGCATCTTGATTTATATATCCAGTTACAAGTTTTGTAGCTCTATCTGTTCATGTAATGCAAAATGGTAGTATTTTAGAAGTTTCGTACCAACTTGGATTATTTCGTAACCTTGATGTTTGAATTTCCAAAAACCCTTTGGTACATTTATCCAGCACTCCATTATTGACTTTTATTCGGAATTTCAGAATTATAACTTACTCCGTTTGTTCTATACAAAGAATTACATTTTTAATACATTTTAGTACATATCGTACCTTTTTAGTACGAATTTCCAAAAAATCCAGTCTTATCACATACTTCTATGTTGCCTTCCAATGCGACAATTGAGCGGACCCATCTGCGTAGACATTGTACATATATTATTTTTTAGAGGCACATCGGGGTATACATGATGTCGTTACTCATACGTCTAAAGGAAATTATCTCGAAACCTTTTTTGAAAATTAATAGACGGTCCATTTTTGGGAAATTATATTTTTACTTTTACCACAAAATGTTTGCCAGTCGAGCTTGGATATAAATACAAAGCAAAAATAATTTGGTTCATTTTTCCAACTGTTTCTTTCTATTTCATATTTAAAAGGTTCTTCTTTTTAACTTGCCTACAAAGGCACACGATTAGCTTCGTTATGCAAAATCCTTACATATGACATGACATAAAACATATGCCTACACTAAACACTGTAAACATTTTTACTAAATGAAAACCCCATGGAAAATAAGGACATCAGCAAAGGATTGGGTTTTTCTGGCCTAGCCATTCGAAAAAAATACAAAAAACACATTGAGCAACAAACATTAATACTAACGAATCCGCATTTATACCCATACACAGTGTCATATGCATATGTGTATATCAAACATGTTATATATCAAATACACACAACAACACACGCACATACACACACACTGAAATCTATGGTCCTCTGAGTTCCTATCTTGTTTTCCATCTTTTTCTCTGTCTCCCTCTGTGTGCGTGTGTGTGATTTTTTTCTGTTCTCTGTGTGTGTGCTTGTGTTCCTCTTCTTTTTTTTTGTTATTTCAGAATTTTGTGACATCCTTTTGCGTGAGTCAATGTTTTGTAATGTTTACCTTTCAATTTCAATTACAGACTGCTTCATTAATTATACCATCGGTGCAGAAGCAGGATTCTGGAAACTATACATGCAGTCCTTCAAACAGTGAACCACGTACAGTTATTTTACATGTATTAAATGGTAAGTGCTGGTCCATTACTCGATTTTTTTGTGTGTTGTTGTTGTTGTTGTACACTTTTTCTGTCGTTTTTAATGTTCTTTTTTGGGGGGTTTGGGGCAAAATAATTTTGGTTCTCTGTGTGAAATGTTTTCAGTTTTTTTTTCTGTCGAGTCTTTGCTTCACAAAGGAACTTTCTCCAGAGAGCCATTTGGAAAGTGGGTTACAATCAATTACATTTAAAGGTCCGTCCTTTGCTTTATAGTTATTTTTTCCAGCATTATTAAATGTGGTATTTGTTGGTACGTTTTGTTTGAAAAAAAAAATTCTGTGAATGATAGTTCCATAGAATGTTTCAAAGGACACTATCAGCACAAATATTTAACAAATTATAAAGAAAGGAATCATTCGATTTAAAAACTATGGAGGGAAATATTTAATTTAAGAGGAAATATTTGGCACGCTATAAAAACGCAAATAATGACATTGTTTCAGCAAATTTTGCATCACAGTATCACAAAAAAAAAAATCATTAAAGTGTTTAAAAAAGTGGCCAATGTAGTACCGATATCATCAAAGTTAAAAATAGAACGGTCCAAAACAAAAAATAACTCCAGGAAAAACGCCGTAGGTTATGACAATAGAGCTAACAATTAAAAAAGCAGCTAATTTCGGCCCTTCCAGATGGTAGAGGGTATACCATTTCGAAGGGATTTAAAAAAATTCAAAAAATTCCGCTTAAATGAAAACCGGGACTATAAGAAGGCGATTTTCTGTCATAGGTTCTAGTGCCCACTACGAACATCAAATACGTTATTTGAAACTATCCCTGGTTAATCCTAAAAATACCGAATATTGGGAGGTACCGTTGTATGGGGCTATACGAAGGCGTGGGTCTTCCTATGTTATTATATCCTACACCATATAGTGGTAAGGGTTTTATGACTTTGAGCATTTGTTTGTAACATGGAGAACGAAGCGAGATAGACCCATAGTTCATTTTGAGGATCTTCATAGAATCAATTTCTGAGTCGATTTATGCATGTCAGGCTGTCTATCCTTGTATTTTTGTGAACAAAATGCAGGTCACATTTATTATCCGATTGAGATGAAATTTTCCAAATAATATTATAAAATAATAATAATAATATAATATTTAGGCCTAAGGACGATCTCCCAAATACATATTTTCAACCGATTTCAGGTTAATTGTGCACCAAATGGCCATTATCAGTCCAAATGACCTGAATTTTGCCACATCCAACCGGTAGAAATCGGTTCAGATACAGCTATAGCTCCCATATATATGTTTCATACGATTTGGAGTTTTAAGTCCCTCACATGCGTAATATACATTCCACAATAATAACCTATGGTACCAGATATAAGATACAGCCCAGAAATACCTATGTCAAATTTTATCGAGATCAGATCAGATTTGGATATAGATCCCATATATATCTTTATCCGATATCAGGTTTATTATGCACCAAATGGCTAATATCAGCCCAAATGAACTGAATGTGGACAATTCTGACTAAATTTATCCTAGAAACAATATTTTCAAATTTGGTGAAAAGCGGTTCAGATAAAGCTATCGCTCCATATACAGGATGAGATCAAAACAAACAAAAAAACTGCAACAAAGTCAACCGCCATAATTTAAAAATGCTTTTCTTAAATTTTATTGAATGACAGCAAAAAATGTCGGAAATTTCATCGAATTTTGGAATAAGTTTATATTTGTTTGAATTGGTCACCTTTGGCCCGAAGTATGGCCTTCAAATGGCCAATGAAACCGTCACACGCTGCCCGAATGTTGCTCTGTGGTATTTTGGCCCTATTCCCGGCGAAGCGCTTGCTTGAGGTGATCGACACTTTGGTATATTTTTAGTGCCAACTCCAGACACAATAGTCCAACGCATTGGTATCCGGAGATTTTGGTGGCCATTGTGCGCTGAAATTGAAGCGAAGAACCTAATTTGTTAACCAATCTTGGGTGGCGCATGCTGAGTGCAATGGTGCTGACTTCAGTTGGAATGTCTAAGGTCTGCGGCCAAAATGTTTGCGTGCCCAAGGCTTTAATGCACCCTCCACAATATTTTCGCGATAATATTCGGAATCTTTTCTGGTCGATTAATACGAGCGGAGAGCGACCATCGGTTGTTATGGAGGCCCACACCATCACCATGACCGGCGCTTGAGTTCTGGTGGCCAACCGAAGGTGCACATTTTCAATACGATCAATTTGGCTTAAAAATGCTTTTAGACTGAATTCGGTCGGATGTACCAAAATTCAGGTGATTTGGAGTTATATTGGCCAGTTGGTGCACAATTAACCCGAAATCGGTTGAAGATATATATCAAATCTACTTTTAAATCTGAAACGATCTTGATAAAATTTGGCAGAGGTATTTCTGGGCTGTATCTGATACCTGGCACCAAATATCATTCTAGTGGAGTGCATATTACGCATGTGAGGGACTTTAGTACCAAATCCGTTGAAATATATATATGGCGGACTTGCGTCGAGACTAAATTCTGACGGATGTGCCAAATTTCAAGGAACTCCAACATTTATCTTCAATTTTATGGGAATTAATTAAAAATTACAACTTTTATGGGAGAGGAACCATATGGGGTGACCCGATATCTATCATCTTCACACCAGATCTAGAAATATTGGAATGCAAAGTTAAGAAAGAATCAGATGCTTATTTCAAATTTTAGAGGAGTTATAATTTTTTTTCAAAATTTTGACCCGTTGTGGCGGTGGTAGCAGAAGGAGTGGTCCGATATATTTCATCTTCATACCAGCTTTCGTGTTGGTAAATATATTGAGATAGTATAGGTACTTAAATATATTTTAAGTATAGATAGGCGGATGTGTAACTTCTCCATACTAGGTCTTGTGTTGATAACAATATTGAGATGTGCCGAGTTTGAAAAGCTTCGGATGTTCATTTCGCTTTTTATGAGCCTCATGGCTATTTAACATTTTGACCCCATTTTCCAAATTTTATGAAAGGTTTGGACTAAGACTCTTAAAATCCTTACATTTTGGGTATATAGTGTCATCGGCAATATCACTGATACCAAGGGAGTCACTAAATAAGTCTTTTTGCTTCTTCAAAAATAGAATCTGAAACTCTTTTTAAACGGTATCGTAGCAAATCCAAATATCTCACTAAAATATTTGCTATAACATTTTGCTATAGGTCTCAGAATAAATCAAAACTCTAAATTTTATCTAAACAACAGGAACATTCGACCACGCTACCACTGTGCATACTGTGCAAATTTTTATAGGAAACCTTGAAATTAACTATCATTGTGTACAATTGTCATTTGTTTTTGATTTTGATTGAATTTATTTGCATTATTTATTTGCGCTTCTCCAGCTGCTCGTCCCATTTGTACCGTTAGATTAATTTTCTATTTGCACTTCGGCCACAATTGATTGTCATGTGTTCTGCGAAAAATCAATTATGTTTTATTTTTACACGTCTAATGAAACAAATATACCAATATACAAAGATGAGGGCACACTTTGAAGTTAATAGGTCCCGTATGTTGAGTTTTATTGATATACGGAAATTGTATTGGTTTTTGTGAGCTATTTTTAACTAATTCGTGCAACTATGTGAAAAAGATGGCAGAAAGTGGAATACAATAGGGAGAATTTTAGGATTTGTACATGTAGGGAATAGTTACGGACAACTTGAAAAGTTGCTTTTGAAGATCTACTGTTTGAAAAACATATTTAAAAAAAAAAAATCTCTTTAGGAAATATCTTGAAAGGGTCATCTACCATAGACCACATTTGGAGGTGTTTCTCTCTCTATATATATTACCTTTAATAGTGCTTCTTAAGTCAAGAGTAGATACAGAAAAACTGCGAAAAAGAAAAATCGTGTAGTGCCGTCCCCTATCAAAACCCCTTATTACTCTTGGTCCTCGAGGATGGTCCTCATTTGTCTTTGTCTAAGACAGTTAAAACAATACATATATTTTTTAAAAAATTATAATTTCTTGTTGGTATGTTTCAAGTTTGTTTCTCAGTGAAAAGCGTTTTTAAGTCCTTGCAAAATATTTCTATTGACTTAAAAAAAAAAAATTCTAAAACGCTTGTGAAAATTTTCAGTTTGTCCTTGATAAAAAACGTCAATAGTCTTTAAAAGTTAAATGGCTGGTACTAGAAAAAATACTCTATAGACCTTGAACGATTTGTCTGTTAGTCCTTAAAAACTAATCTTCCAAATATCTAGCAAAGTGCCTGTTGGACGTTGAAAAAAAATATTTTCTTAGGTCCTCGAAAACAACGTCCATAAAACGGTAAAAATACATCTGTTGGTCCTTAAAATTGGTCTCTGAAAAAAAATCATAAAGTCCTTTTTAAAAAATCTAAAGTCCTCAAAGACATGTCTGTTGTTGGTCCTTAAGAAATAAAACAGTGCTACAGCCTTTGGTAAATACTTATCATGGACCTTGAAAAAATTACCTTCAAAAGTCCTCAAAAAATATCTTGGTTACTGATAGCCACTGTAACAGTCAAAAGTTACATGTTAATGTATTTGTGATTCCGTCGGGATTAAAAATATTTGCGGTTTTTATGGTCTATTTTACCCTAAATATTGTCCGATGACCAAAAAAAATGTTAGGGTTCAAACCAGCCTCAAACTCCAACTTCAGCGTCGATTGGTTAAAAATTGTGACTTTGGCGCTACCGAATCAGGAAAAATTTTTGTTTTTGGTCCATTTTAACCCCTAAATATTATGCTATCATACCCAAAAACAACTGGATTTTTTGTGACCCCAAACCACCTCCATTCTCAATTTCGTGGGGATCAGTTCATAATTGCGACCTGTAGCTTGATTACAATTTAACATGGACAGACGGACAGATGGACGGACGGACATATATAGCTGGATCGAATCAGCTCGGCGAGATAGGAAGATCCATATATAGTTTCTTATGTCAGGAATTTTGGGCCAATCAAACTTATAATACCCCAACACATAG